TAAACCGAAATTCAACGTCGATTGATAAAATAAAACCGAACGAGCTATATAATCACAGTATCCATATAATATTATAAAATATAATCTCAAAATTAAGATTCGATAAATAGAATAATCCGAGAAATTCTATAAATCGAACGGGGCGTTACATTTACGGTCACCATGTGCGTTAGTATGATGATGTCCCCGAAGTGAGTTCATGAAGGAATATTATGCTAAACCCTGCAGGTGGATTTATTCCGGCATAATATGAATGCTATGAGCGAGCGCTAGCTTCGGTAATATAATATATTAATTAATTCTTGATTATTAGTGATCGAATTAATTAATGGACATTATATCTTAAACATGGGGAGGTAAATCGAATAATTATAATAAGGAGTCTCAAATGTAATTTGGGATAGGTGAAGAGAGTGCAATAATATTATTGTGGTGGACTTTAATATTATTAATATATTAATTGTGGAGTTGCTCCACAATATTAATATATAGAAGCCCTTATCCTATTCTCCTTAGGGTCCCTACTGTAGCTCTATATATACAGCATTAGGCTCATGGAAGAGAAAAAGAACAATCCCATAACTTGGGAAGTCGTCCGCCCCCTCTCTCTCTCTTCCAAGAAGTTGTTATATTTCTTGTGCTCCACTGATACAAGATCTAGATAGCTGTTTGAGAATACAGTAGAAGATCTTAAGATATATACGGGATTCCAATCATATCTATCATACATCCAAACCGGAGACAAAAACCAGCAAGTGACCATACCACGACGACCAGGACGACGGGACGAAGAGATCGCCGTCGAGATCGCCGCCAGCCGCCGCCGCACGCGCCGCCACGCGCCGCCGGAAGGGAGCAGCTGCCGGAGTTTACTCGCGCGCGTGAGAACGCGTGGATCGTCCGATTTCCGATCGGTCAACGCCGTTGACTTTTCCGTGACGTCAGCTTTCTGGATTGGTCAAGTTTGTTCGATTCCGAGAAGATTTGATTTGCGGTCAACTGTTCGGGCCAGCCAGATCTACATAAATTTTAAGCAGTAAGTTTTCTTCATCAAACCTTTAGATCCGCTGCGCATAGGTTTATGTTGAATGTTTGTCCGTGATTTGTGCACATCGAGATCCTCATATGTCCCAACAGTAAATACGACTTGTTTTTTAAAACTTTTTTTAACACTTTAATATATGAGTTTACTAACCGTTTATATTAATAAATACTATTTTAACATCTATATTTATTTTGTGATATAGATAAAATAATAATTTTACTTATTTTTGTTTATAATAATACTCAACTATTATTTTTTTTTCAATTATTAAGCAATCAAATTGTATGAGATTTAATTTTTTTATTTTCCAACTTATAATTTCAATTGCCAATTACAATCATGTTAGAAACATTTAAAAGATATAAATTAATAAATTAGTAAAATCATTTGGAAGATAATATTATATAAAATTGTCATTTTGTAATTTATTGTTAAAACTCAAAATTAACACGATTTTAGAGATAAGAATAACAGAGATGAGAATCAAAACAAACACTTTATAATTAAATATGGAATATGGAATTCGGCCCACGATTTTAGGATTTAGGTTTCACAATTTATTGTTAAAAAATCAAATTTAGAACGATTTTAGAACATATGAATAATAAAGATAGGAATCAAATCAAAATTGTATAATTAAATACAAGGTTTTAAATAGCGGGCTAAAACGTTTATGGCATTGTAGCTATAGCGGGATTTAGCGGCTAAATTGCACATGAATACAAATAGCGGCACGCTGCCAAAAAAAGCTACTTCTCAAATAGCGGCAACTTTAGCGAGCTATTTATTTCCTTGATTAAATATGGAATATGGAATTCGGTCCACGAATTTAGGATTTAGGATTCACGTGTAATGCATTTAAATTGAATCTAATTTTTGAAAAAGTCAATCATCACAAAAGAATTGTACAGACGGGATTTATCAAAAATATTCAAAAAGAAAATCCACAAAGGGTAAAAATCAAAAAAGAATCGAGAAAATGACTTTCCACTTTAGAATCTTTTCTTAACTGTATTATATAGTAATAGATTTTAACGAATCTCGAGATAAAGTATGGTAAAATAAAACGAACCATTAGATAAGTCGAGTCTAGAGCTTCAAAATGATATATAACTTGTTGAAATTTGCCACGGAAGGCGGCGGGCGGCATAAGGCAATTTTGATTGATTTTTAAAAATTTGGATAAAAAATAATTAATTTTGAAATCTTTAATGACCAAAATTGATTAAATTGGAATTTCGGGTACCAAAAGCGAAAATTTGGTAATACTTTGAGTACCAAAAGTTAATATTTCCCCTTTTCATACAGACCTTTTCACCTGTTATAACATGTCAGTCGTTAGTCAAAGAGCGAAACATATCAAAATTGATGAACACTCCGGACTACCCGGACTGGTTTTACTGAAATTTCAGATATATATTTCAAATAGAATATCAGATATATATTCCAAATAGAATTTCAGATATATTTAAGATAAATTTAAGATATATTTAAAATTCAGATATGTTTCATTAAACTTCAATGAATTTCAGTCAGATTTAATTCCAGATAGACTTAAGTCCAGAGTCATAATATAGTCCATACTTAGAAATATTTCGGAGAACTCTAGTATGCCTCAAAGACAATAATATTTCAAAATCAGATCGTAAATCCCGAAAATAACTTTTTAAAGCAGAATGGGCGAACATAGACAGATCAGATAATAAAATTTTAATAAATATAAGACATGTAAAATGATTAAGTGAATAGATATAGTATCAAAATGAAAAAAGACGTAAGATTAGAGAATCAGGGCAAGAGAGTGCGGTCCCACGCAGATTAAGCGCACCATAAGAGGGTGAGCCTAGGTGCACCATAGTGAGGTTCTATCCCAAAACCAATTGGTGATAGGAGGAGTAGCTCACTTGGCTTATATACTAGACTCATTTTCTATATAGAATCAACGTGAGACAACTCACAAGTGATACTCCAACACGCCCCTCACTTGTGAGTCCTTCATAAGCCCAAGCCCAGAGCAGGCCGGGTAGAGATAGTGACCCTGGCCGGAGTTGGTCGGGTAGAGATAGAAACTCAGGCAGAAGTCGCCTTGGCTCTGATACCATGTAAGATAGAGAATCAGGGCAAAAGGGTGCGGTCCCACGCAGATTAAGCGCACTATAAGAGGGTGAGCCTAGGTGCACCATAGTGATGTTCCATTTCAAAATCAATTGGTGATGGGAGAAGTTGCTCACTTGACTTATATAGTAGGTTCATTTTCCCTATAAAATCAATGTGAGACAACTCGAAGTGATACTCCAACACAAGATCTCCATAGTATCAGAGCAACATTTTGCCAATAAACTTTAACATGTGTCACGCTGCATCACATTACTTTTTTTTTAATCAACAATTATTAAAGTTACATATTTATTTTGTCGTATTTTGTGTTGCGAAATATAATTTAAAGTAATTTCTTTATGAAAAGAAATAGAAAAAAGAATTCCTCTTTTATATTCTTGTATAACTAATATATATTAACTAATAAATATTTTATAGTAATTTCATTAAAGAAAAATACGTAGCTTAAGCAACTATGATATTTTTTTGACAATTTATTTAATATATTTATTTACATAATTGTAGGTTTTACATTTGAAAAATATCAATAATTAATGCAATATTACATTAACACATGACCATATTTACTTAATATATCATTACCATGCATTTATGGTTATTTACAAAAATAAAATAAGAAAATGAATGATTCGATTAGAAAAACTAATTTATAAAAACAAAATTTTGTTATTATATCTCTTAGTTTTCGAAATTTCAACTACAATTGTGGCTTAGATTATTACCCAATATTTTTATTTTGGCTTAAAATTCATTTTCAAAATTTTCATATTGAGTAGGTATGATTTTTTTTTTTTTACGAAAAAAACTATACAAAAACTAAACCAATTTCAATTTTTTTTTGTGATTTTTTTTTTATTGTTTACCTCTTAACACTTTATAAACCATTGCTATAATTTAATTAATTGATCATAATCAATCAATAATTCAAATTTTACATTATTCCAATCAATATAAAAATTCATATGTAAGTCAAATAGTTCATATTTATATCGTTTACTTTTTACTAATCTTCATAAAATGTGATAGGCTCGTTATCTAACTTATGATTTTAAATATTACATATACACATGTACAACTTATAGAATTTATTTGTATTTGTGCGATGGAGATAACAGTTGTTTGAATCAATGCACATCCTACCTAATAGTCTAATACACAAGTTTTCAAGTTTATGTGTATAGCTTTTGATATTTCGCAATTTAACGCGTCGGTGTTTCGTTATCTAACTTATGATTTTAAATATTACATATACACATGTACAACTTATAGAATTTATTTGTATTTGTGCGATGGGGATAACAGTTATTCGAATTAATGCACATCCTACCTAATAGTCTAATACACAAGTTTTCAAGTTATGTGTATAGCTTTTGATATTTCGCAATTTAATGCGTCGGTGTTTCGTAACCTTATATATCAATTTTTTAGGTCTTGGAGTATTCTATATAGATCTAAAATCCTCTGTTTATTAGAATTTTTTAAAATTATAAAATACTTGAATAACTTAAATTATATACATGTTTTAAAACATAATAAATTTTGAATTTTTGTTTATTTTTTATATATGATGCCATAAATTAATAGTCCTATATAGTCTTCTGATTTATTTATCACTGATATTAACTTTTAGTTGGGATGATTCCATACAGTAATTTGTATTTTCAGCTAGCAATTTAAATTTTATTCATTACTCCATGAAACAACTCCAAAAAATACACATTAAATTACACATATTTCCCCCATTTAAAAAGAATAACTCACTTTATTGTATGACTAACAAGGAAAAGGGAAAAAAAAATAAATAAATAAATTACAATTAAGAATCCAAATTAATTGATCAAAACAAAAAACCTGCTATAATGAAAAGCAACACAAGTAACAAAACAGTGATCAAAGCAAAAACCCAACTCCTAAAGTTCCCTTCATCCTCATATGGATCAACACTCCATGCCAATGCCTCCTTCACATACTTTGCTTCTCTTGGAGTCCCCAAACCACCACCACCACCACCACCACTCATCTCCTCCTCTGCCAACTCCATATGCTTCGTAATATGTGGAAAAACGATCTCGCCCGATTCCTCGCCGATCAAAAGATCCGAGTGCCCGAAACCATCAACTACGACCCTCTCATGCCTGTAACCAGGCTGATGCATCTTCATATACTTGTTCGCGAGGAAAGAAGTTTCCGGAGTAACAAGAAGGGTCCGCCCTCCGGATATGTATAGTGTCGGCATTGCCATTCGCTCGGGATAGATTAGATAAGAGTTTTTACCGTCACTGTCCACTATAAAACCGGCCCTGCATATTTTCCTTAGGTGAGGAAATGCGGCCATCGGGAGCCTCGGCAGGTTTTCTTTGTTCATCCAGTAATGCATTGCCGGGCTTATGTTCTCGTGCCAATACGCGTTACCAAAAATGCCGGAGATAACTTCGCATTCGTCACAAGTGCATCTTTGGCAACGTGGGATTAGCCGCGCGATTGATTTTAGGAGGCGGTGCCTATAGCTTGCGGAAGATTCTTGAAGCATTGGGAGTATCTTGTTTGTTCCGAGCACGGCCATTGACATCTGCATGTTGATAGTATTTAGGCTATGTTTGGTAACCTAGTTGATAAGTGAATTTTGAGCTTATAGCTGATAGTTTATGACTCGTGGCTGAAAAGCTAGCTTATATATGACGCAAGTGTTTCGTAAAATTAGATAATAAGCTAGTTGAAATAAAGTTTTCAATGAGTGAACTTATTTGAAAAGCTACCTAAAGAAATTTATGAGATAAGCTCGAGCTTTTTATAGAAGCTCGTCCTATCAAACCAAGCTTGTTTTGAAGACAATAGCTTATAAACTAATCAAATAAGCTATAAGATAACTTATATGCTTACCAAACACATCCTTAGTAGTCGGGCATGCATTATTTAAAATGTGAAATTTGAAAATTACAAAAAATAGAAATACACATCGACGGAATATTGTAACATTCAAAAATGCTTACCGGCACAAGGGGAAGCCACATTTTGACTAGTGAGGAAGTGGTGAGTTTGTAAAACATTGAAGAGTTTGTACAAGTCAACGAGGCGATATATTTAGCCGAAACATGGCCACCCATGAGCGAGATATGAATGGCCAGACCACCAAGACAATGAGCAACGACGTGTAGTTTTACGGATTCACCATACAAATCGGTGATCTTATCAATTGCTGAAAGAAAAAAAGAAACGATTATTTTGAGTTAGCTAGCTAGAAAGGGTGATGTGTTGAAGGTACAAAACCGAAAATGCACGCGTAAAATTACCAGCTGGGATGTCAAATCTGCCGATATCTTCAACTGAAAATTGATTTGAAGCAATTGACCAGTGCATTCTTGCATGCAGCAGCCACACGTCATGCCCGTCTCTTAGTAAAGTTCTAATGAGATCATTTTGCTCAGTAGGCAAGTAATAACTTTCTGTTGCATAACCATTGAGTAACAAAGCAGGGTATTTTCTTTTCTCATGCTTAAGTTGCTGCCAGGTCTCTTGGCTGCATTGCCAATGCTCGCAACGAATTGTAATATTATCTTCTGCATATTTCATAATGACCATGGTTAAAAGGGAAGTTATAATATGCCATGCCGAATTAGAGGGATAATGAAGAGTATCTGGTATATTTACCCGTTTGAATCTCATGAATCGTACTGTTTGGATAAGATTCCCGAGCCAAACTCATAGGGGTGAAATTTGTGTGACATCCTCGAGGTGTTTGTAGGATATATGTTCTGAAAAGTGATTGCATAAAGACGCATACGAACTTGATCTTGCTTCGACCCTCAAGAGCACACAAGCTTTTCAAGAGCTCGAATAAGGAAACATGAAGCTTCCCTTTTAGACTCGTCATGCCTTCACTCGACGTGTTATCGGTGATTTTTCTCAATGTCACGTTCAAAGTCGTGGATTCTCTCCATGCATACAGTGCAAGCAGATACGGGTTCATTATCTTTCTCCCTTCAAGAATATACCTGCACCAAAAAGCTTGTATCATTAGAATAAATCTTGAAAAAAAGTTGAAGTCAAAATGAAATAAAGGGATTAAGTAGGCTACATAACCTCAACTTGTCCAAAGATTGAAAATTTTCACCATATTTTGTCCTTAAGTCTTACATTTTCCATTAACATTCCTTAGTCTTTCCAAATCTAACAAGTACGTCTAATACTTCACGAAACTGGTGAGTGCTACTGAAATTATTTGACGATATAATTTCAAAACGTAGCCGATACTTTTCTGTGAACGTCGCAAACTAAAATCACAACTAGCTCTCATAATAATCGCAAAAATTAAAACCAAACCTCGAACCGGATGAAGCTGCAAGGAGTAGACGATAGTGCATGTACTGCGTGTAAGGAGTTTTTCCATCGGTTTTGCATAGATCAACCTCACCATGAATGACGTACATCTTCTCGATCTCAACTCCTCTGCATTCTACATATCCACCCACTCTGCCTCTCAACACAGTAGCAGCATTCTCCGAGTCATAATCATCACCGCCAAATCTCAACTTCAGATGAGCGGTGCACGGCATTCCACCAACTTTCCCTCTCATCACCTCTCGAGTCGTCACTACCGCCGAGCCAACCGTTTTTCTTCTTCTCTCGTCAAAATTCTTACCCACAAAATTTCCTATATTTCCAATATTGTCCCTAACCACACCTCTGCTGACGTGTTCCGCAAGCGTCGCGATCGTGAGGCACGGATTTATCCCGACCGAACACGGGATCAGCGAGGCATCGCAGACATAAAGACCCATGTGGGCCCCACCTGCTGACGTGTCGAAAACTCGGCCCTCCGGATCACAAACTCCCAACGAGGAGTCGGATGAGGCAATGCAGCCACCGAGGAGATGGACGGCGGTGCTCGCGAACCGAGACAGGAAGAGAATGCCTCCCAATTTTCCGGCGATCTTCTCGAGGGCTTTGACTTTTCGAGGCAGGAGACGGTCGTGCGGCGGCTGGAACGAAATTACATTTTTGTCCTTGTCGAACGTGAGCCGGCCGTCGCTGTTGTCGTGTCCCATTACATTGAGGACCATTTCGCGGCCACAGTTGAGACGGAGTGCGTGCTTTAGCAAGTGTGTGGCGGTGTGTGGGGCCCCTCCGCCGGTTCGCAGCGCGTAGGTCGCGATTCCTTTGAATAGGAAGCTTGGGTAGGCTGCTGGAGTTACTGCACTCTGTGTATTTAGAACAATCAAATTATTTACTTTTTACTAAAATAAACTCACTTCAAATTTCCCTATAATTTTTAGGCAAAATTGCCTTCCATGCTACATCATCTTGGTGCAGTCTATAAAAGTGGTAATTGTAGTTCAAAGGATACTCATTAGTATAAAATAGAACATACATAAAAATTAAAAACAAGCATAAAAGATTACAAGACATGAATGGCAGTTGTATCTTAACCTGAATGGTGAACCCCAGTGAAGAAGTATATGATGAAGAAATTGATGGCCCTGGCCTTTCTCCAAAAGCTTTATTAAGAAATTGCATTCTGTTTAATCCGGTAGAACTCAGAGGGGCCCGGCTTCCAGCGAGATAGGCCACATAGTTGCCGTTACAACTCAATCCTGATCCTAGCTTCTGCGAGACCTGCAATCCCCTCAATCGGGATTGAAAAAGTATTCGTGCTGTGCCAAATACTCCAGCTGAATCACGATCAACACAAACAATTTTAACGCTCGGTTCAGACGAACGATTCTAACAAGTCCTTAACCAGTAATATATACCTGAGAGTATGACAATATCAGCTTCTATGTAGTCGAACTCGTTCAGGAACACAAGCCACCGGCGTTTGCTTCTCGTTTTGAATTTTCCTTCCTCTTCGCCATTGTCATCTTTATTATTTCTCACCACATATTGAACCTCGCTTTCTGTTTTAATAGTGCATCCAGCCTGTAACACTCAAAAAATAAAAATCAGGCAAGAAAAGAGAAGAGAAGAAGTATGAAATCCAATATTTTTCAGTGAAAAATCAGAAAATAAAAAATACGTTAATATATATTTTTTTTTCACATACTTCGACAGCAGAGGCCAAATAAGTCCTGTCAGTCGAACCCTTCGCACCATAAGGACAGCCAGAAAGACAGTTCCCGCAAGCTAGACAGCTTCCGGTTTTTGGAGACCTTTTTGAATCCGGAAGCTGTTCGACGTCAAAGTTCACACTCAGCTTGATCTGATTTTCATTCTCCTTATCATACTCTTCGCCTAAGACTCCCTCAACAATCTCTGAATTTTGGAACTTCATAGGAACACTCTCAGCCCTCAGCATATCCAAAGCGCAAGCTTGGCACGAGTCCCAATCTTTTTCCCATGCCTTTGGCCATTTCGGGTGCTTTCGCGCGCGAAATGTGGGAGGCACCATAACTCCTGCATTGATCAGTGAGCCTCCTCCGAGGCCGCAGGCAGTGGCCACCAGAGCATCTTCTTGTATTTGCAGCTGCATGATCAGAAGTCATGAACTAATAGACTTAGCATGTTCTGAGATCAACGAATTTCTATCTCTTATATTCCATCTCTTTTATGTTTTTATTATTTATAGTATGTTAGACTAGTTATTTTATCCAATTATAGGAGATGCTTAACTTTGATTTGTCTATGGATTGATGGATTTTTACTTATCGTTGGTTAATCGAGACGATGTATTTATTTTCTTCAATGAGTTGATTCGTGCTATCTATTTTTAATGTTTATGAATGATGAATGTCTGATTTAGGTCGACCGACCAACTACTTTGAATATTCATATTTAACTGCTACATTCGAGCCTTTAATCCGTAATTGTTATTGCTCTCGTGCATCTCTAGGTTAGCGTGAATATAAGTTAAATATGTGGTTAATAGAGTTTGTTGTCAGGTAGCAATTTAATAAATGCATTAATTAAACTTAATTAAACGGTAGATTTAGATTGGGTGGTTGTTGAACGGAAAACAAAATTTCTCTTATTTCATTTGATTTTTGTTTTATTTTGTTTTCCTATTCTATAAAAATAATCCCCAATTTTTTATTACTCTCTTAGTTTTAATTCAATCAATACAAAAATTATAATACTATAATTCTGATGTAGGGAAAAAGCGTACGAATGGGAAGATAAAAGGAGATACTCTCTCCAGAACACGGGATACTCTCCCAAAAGAAAACACGATCAATTATTTCATTCTTAAATTCAACTCCTTAACACAAAAGATGAGAGTCCTTTAAATAAGGATCTAACCCTGAACTTAGCTTATTCCCCAAGCTAATTATTATTTAACTAATAATAATATTAATAATAATAATAATAATAATAATAATAATAATAATAATAATAATAATAATAATAATCCTAATTTTAATCATATATAATCTCCATCATAATCTCCATCATTCTCTCCCAGTGGAGCAGGATTCGGCCTCGAATCCGACCCGTTCCCGTAGGAGAAGTGTGACACGTTTCGTCCTCGATCGAACACGAAGCTTGAAGGTCGTCCAATCGCACCGGCGAATACAAATTCGGGCACGTATACAACGGTCGAAAAAGCAAAGGGGCCTACTTCCCGATGCAGAATCCCAGAAGCCGAACGAAAACCATAATCACTACAGCCAGAACGTCCACTGGGGGAAGACTTCAGAACAAACAAACCAACATTGTCCCAACAGCTATTGAGTCCCGAAGGCGCTTCCAAAAAACCATCCTTCGCAAAAATATGTTGAAAATTCGGTCCAAACGACGGGTGTTCGGTCAAAGGGACCATCGGGAGGATGTCCCGCGTGGAGCCCAAAGTGCCGTCAATATGTATCTCCGGCACCGGAGGCTCCTCATCAAAAATGGGCGGACTGTCATACTTTGGGTCGTCAACGTGATCTTCATCAAAGTCAAGAAAGTCGGCACGAGACGGGCCCATCAAGTAACCAAATTCGCTGCCAAAATGATTACCAAAATAGTTGCCGAAATTACTCTGTACAAGCCCAATCTTCGCATCCACATTACAAGCCCAAAAATCTGGATTAATAAATTGACTTGGATTAGCCCATCCCTGCGCAGGCCCACAAGGGTGAAAAAAATCTAGTCTTCTTCTCTGCTCATCTCCCAAATTGGGATTCCAAAAGCTGCGTACAATTTCCCCAAAATTCGTACGGGTGTCGCCTCCTTCATACGCCCAAAACCCATGGGCAAAGCCTTCATACTCTGCACTCTGTACATGGACCATTCTTCCCCTGTGAAATCCAAAAATTTGATCACCTCCAAATCCCGCCGCAGTCTCGCTGCCTCGCTGCGCATCTCGCCCTCCGTCACCGGCGAAACCCGCAACAGCGCATCGCCGGTCGCGAAAACTAGAGCCATAAAAGACAACTGATGTAAAGGTTTGGTCCCGTCGAGTTTCGCGGCCCCCGCCGTCACCCAAACCGGTCGCCTTCCGCTTCCAATCGCGCTCTCCGGCCGTGGCAAAACCCTCATCGGCCAATCGCGGCTCGCGATAATCGCCGTCGCCGAAGTCAACGGCTGGACGCCGGTCCTCACGGTCGCAGCGCATCATGAAATCGACCCCAGCCGGCCGCTGTTCGTGAAAATGGGCCGCCTGTAGGGGTTCGCCCTCCTGTTGCTCGTCGTCCGGTGCAAATCCGGCGTCTGATCGCCGGTGGTGGCTGAATGGGTCCCCGCCCATGGCCTGTTCTCCCTCATGAGTGACGGGGATGTCGCTGTGGGGTTGGTTGCGAAAGTGAACAGGTACGTGACAATCATCACGTCTCAGTTGACGGTCGCCAAAAGGATTGACCGACCAAGTGGAAACGTACTCGTTGTTGCCGTTCAGAGGTGGTCGGGACCGCTGTCGGGGCGCCCCGACATGGCCGAGTCCTCCACGTCCGCCTCTGTGTCCCCCGCGATAGTCACGGCCTCCATCGCGGTCCGTCTGCAATTCCGCAACAATCACATTGTTTGCGATATCTTATTTCATTCAATATCCAACTCCTGTACATTCTGGCCAGACTGCTAATAAATAGAGTTCAATACCTAGGAGTCCCTAACTTGTCAAACAAGTAAATAAAATATCTTCCTAACCAACTAATCAAGATAATTAAGAGATAATAATAATAATAATAATAATAATAATAATAATAATAATAATAATAATAATTAAACTATTAAACTATCCTCATCATTCTCCCCCGGTTGAGCAGGATTCGGCCTCGAATCCGACTCGTTCATGTTGGAGGCGTCCCCATGACAAGAATAGCCCGGACATTTTCCTCGATCGAACACAAATGTTGAACGTCTTCCAACAACCACGAACGTAAGCATAACCTCGGTCCATGACTTAACTGACGCGAAGGCACATGTACACGTCACCGGTCGCAAAGCCAAATTAACACAAAATATACCACATCGAATTTTGTGCGTAAGTCCAAAACAACGGCCAAGCATCCCGTTGTTGGGAGATTTCGCGGTAGACAGTCGAAAAATGTCCCACCAGTCATTGAGTATCGGCGTCGGCTCCGAAAAAATATCTTTGGCCAAACTACTCGAAAAATCGAGTGTGGATGACTGCATCCCATTTAAAGACTCAAACGTTACGACGTCCCACGCGGGACCCATATTACTGCACAAATATTTTCTCGTCATCGGAGCCACCTCATCAAAAATAGGTGGACCGTCGTAAATTGTGTCGTCATCGTGATCTTCGGCAAATCTGGAAAAGTCAGCGCGAAACGGACCCACCCTTTGACCAAAATCGCTGCCATAATCCTTCTGCACAAGCCCAATTTTCTCTACGTCACAGGCCCAAAAATCTCGTGTGGGCTGCTTCTGTGGAGGCCCAAAATCACAGCCTAATTTATCTCCTTCACACGCCAAAAATCCACGTCCACCCTCTGCTCTCTGTACTTCAATCGTGTCTCTGTGAAATCTGAAAAATGGAGCACCCCTTTGCCCAGCGTCACTCCTGCTGCCCCGCCGCGCAACGAGGCCGCTGTCACCGGCGAAAATTGCAGCAGAGCGCCGCCGATCGCGCAAGCCGGACCGGCCGAACACCACCCCTGCCCAGGGT